CTTCCTTCCTTCCTTCCTTCCTTCCTTCCTTCCTTCCTTCCTTCCCTTCTTCTTCTTCTTCTTCTTCTTCTTCTTCTTCTTCTTCTTCTTCTTCTTCTTCTTCTTCTTCTTCTTCTTCTTCTTCTTCTCCTCCTCCTCCTCCTCCTCCTCCTCCTCCTCCTCCTCCTCCTCCTCCTCCTCCTCCTCCTCCTCCTCCTCCTCCTCCTCCCCATTCTTGAACTCAATTTTTCTCCCCCTGCAATAGATTTGGGCTCACTCTAACCAATCATGAGAGTTATTGTCCTGATAAAGAGATGGAGAAATGGACAGAGTTCTGAACCTCTTTACATAATTTATTTTCATCACTTAGACATATTTATTTAATTACCAAGAGTCCAGTTCAATTCATAGGAGGCTTCATCTACTGTGCTATTAATTGCAACACATAGACATGTAAACCCACCGCTGCATGGTGGGTGGAGTGGGAGGTTCAGAAGGGGCCCTTCTCTCCCTAGTTTATCAGTATGTAAAGGAGACCGAAGAAGATTTGTCCTTTCAGACTTGCAAAATTCTGTTAACGTAACTTTAGAATAAAGTTACCAGGCCCAAACCCAAAGACAACAGTGAAACCCTATCAACTCCAATCTTTTATTAGTCTACTTCTAATGGCAGAATCTTGCCAAACTAAAGCTATGACTGTCTTACTCTAATAGATACAAGTATTATTAAGGGGGATGGACTAGGAGATCTCCAAGGTCCCTTCCAACTCTGTTATTCTGTTATAAGATCGATTGAATGATGGGATTTCTTTTTTAATTTTTTTTTCCTACTCGGTAACACATAATCTTAGGAATTTGGGTAGCATTGGATATAAGAACTTAAAAGCTAAACTTCTAATATACAGAAACAGTACATGAACAGACATAACAGGAGATACACCTGGTGGGACCTAGAAGAAGGGCCTTCTCTGTGGTGGCTCCATCTCTCTCGAACATCATTCCCCCAGATATTAGAATGCCCCCCTCCTTAATACTATTCTGAAAGGCACTGAAGACCTGGTTTTGCCAGCGGGCCTGGGGAACCCAGAGAGGGATGGAGCCCATCAAATGGCTCGTATGATCCGCTGTCATCGGGGCGGGGGATGGGAGTTGGTTTTTGTTTTTGTTTTATTTTGTTTTTTTTTTGTTTTCCCAAATTTTGTTCTATTGTACTTTACTAATTTATTTGATTCTTTTTGTTAGCTCTTATTGTTTTTGTTTTTATTTTTTGTTTTAAATATGATTTTACACTGTGTAAGCCACCACGAGTCACCATGGGCAAGTAGGCGGCAATATAAATCAAATAAATAAATATCACAGCCCATTTTGATTGCTTCTTTCTCTAAAAACTGTCTAGAAGATGTTAGAAGGGAACATACTGCTTCCTCTCAGTGACCCTGCCCTTTCTCCTTGGGTTTTCTGACACTGCAGTGTTTTTTAGCAGAGAGGAAATGCTTTTTATTTATTGATTTAAAAATCTTTCTAAGTCACTTATGGTTAGAATAAATCCTTTCTGATGTACCAAGTAAGAATATAAAATAGGAGTTAAGCCATTACATAAAATCCAATAGAAGCATCCATATAATGTTGCTAAACTCAAGACAAGCAACAAATATCCAGGGATGGGCTTGAGCAGAGAGAGACGTCTTAAGGACGAAGCAGCCTCATTTTAATTTCCTCCAAGAATTGTCTTGTTGAGTGGATATCTGTGTGATGTCCCTTGGAATGTAAGTTGGCAGCTGTAGCTGAAATTTGAGTGGGTGTTGTGCTATCTAGCGTGCTTGCTCAACTAAGTGGGATATTTGTTTTGTTTTGTTAGAGCAAGTGGATGACTTCTAGATAATAACAGCAGCCTGATAGTGTCTGTGCTGCCTGAAGAAACTTCACTATCTCGGCCCATTATTATGGGAGCTAGCAAGATGCTGACTTTGAAACTAATCAAGGAGAGAACCAGCCAGGGGTGGGATTCCTGTGCCTAGGGGAGCCTCCTTGGGGGGTGTTTTTGCTCCCAGAAAACTCCCCTGGGGCTCAGGAAGGAAAAAAAACTGAGCATGGGGGGGCACAGAGCACACCCCTGCGCTCCATTTTGGGGCCTTCAGGGCCCCTGAGAAGCCTTCTGGGAGCAAAAACATCCCTCCAGGAGGCTCCCCTGAGGCACAGGAGGGGGCGTTTTTTGCTCCCAGGAAGCTTCCCTGGGCCCAGGGAAGGCAAAAAATGGAGTGGGGGTGGGGGTTGCTGTGCCCCCTTCCATTTTTTGCCTTCCTGGGCCTCAGGGAAGCCGCTTGGGCGAAGCAGTAAGTAAGCAAGGGGAATCCCGGCATAGCTGATCATAGGAACAGCTGATCGTCAGGAGGGAGGGAAATACCTTAAGGAGTGACTGGGCGGGGAAGAACACAGTCAGCGATGTTGGGCATGCGTGATAAGGACTAACAGGGCAGGGAGGGGCAGGTGGAGAGGGGTGGGGCCAGCCAGGGGCATGATTTGCCAGTTCTCCAAACTGCGCAGAATCATAACAACCGGTTCTATAGGACCGGTCTGAACCAGAAGAATCCCATCCCAACCTGGAACCAACCTAGAACTAAGGAGAAATTTCCTGACAGTTAGAACAATTAATCAGTGGAACAACATGCCTTCAGAAGTTGTGGATGCTCCAACACTGGAAGTTTTTAAGAAAGATGGACAACCATTTGTCTGAAATGCTATAGGATTTCCTGCCTGAGCAGGGGGGGTTGGACTAGAAGACCTCCAAGATCCCTTCCAACTATTCTATTCTATTCTGTTCTGTTCTGTTCTGTTCTGTTCTGTTCTGTTCTACTCTACTCTACTCTACTCTACTCTACTCTACTTTATTCTATTCTAGTTCTGAGATCTATTCCTAACAAAGTAATTGTACATGAGAAAGTATCATTTTCAGTTCTTTGAGAATAACATTAGCAACACCTGGAAACTTTTAGGGGATACTGAACTGAAGTTCACACAGGAATGCTATTTTTTAAGGTGCTTGTTTCAGGTTTGTGTAAGGTGACAGGCACAATGTACTGACAAGCAAGTGACAATGGCTGTTGCTAACTTTGCCTGCTCTTTGGGGGTAGGGAGAGGTAGAGAGAAGGGCTGAGGGACAGCTTCGCAAGTGATGGTGTAGCTCCTGATGTGGAAATGGGCATGCTTCCGGTTCTGAAATCACTCACAGCTTCTGGCAGAGTTGTAAAAGAAAGATCTTCAGTTCAGGAAATCTGCTAGAAATGTGTAATTGGGCCAAGGAGGTGAGAATGACAGGCTGGGTTCACTGTCAAGGACTTGCTACCTAGCTTGACCTGTTGGGGAGGAGAAAAGGTAAAGGAATCCCTGCAGATCTTACTAGCCATTGCTGACTCGAGGGGGCAGTGCTCATCTCCATTTCAAGGCTGTTGAGCCAGCGCTGCCCAAAGACATTTCTGCGGTCCTGTTGCCAGCATGACGTCATGGAGCTCTGTTACCTGCCCACCCAAGTGTTATCTATTTATCTATGCGCATTTGCGTGCTTTCGAACTGCTAGGTTGGCAGAAGCTGAGGCAAGTAACGGGAGCTCCCCCCATCATGCAGTGCTCAGGTCTCGAATCTGGGCAGTCGACTTTCCAGCTGACAAAACCAGCATCTTAACCACTGAGCCTTCGTGCTGCCCCTAAGGAGAAGAAAGAGGGTGGGAATTTTTTTTCACATTTCTAAGTTGCTAGTACTGATGACATGGAATCAGGAGAGGCAAATGGAACTCTTGGGTGCCAGTAGCTTCTCTCTTGGGCCTCCCAGGTTCCTTACCTGCTAGCCTCAAACATTGCCCCCATTTCCAAGAATGTTCTTGGTCCCCTTGCTGGATGTATAGAAAGCAAAACTGGTGGAAATGAAAGCCTACCCTGGGCTTCATCTGCAAATCTCTCTACTTGTCTAACAAAAAAGAGACAATTAAGTTATGTACTGAGGCAGGAAGATCTTTAGCATTAGGCGTATCCTAACCAGTGTACCTTTTGGTACAAAGTTCAAAGTTCAGTAAGAAGAGTTTATGGGGTAACAGGCATAAATGGTACATGAGTCTTTCCTAATAGGCCATGTTCGCAATAGCATCAAGACTTATATAACTGCTCCCTAGAGCTTTATAGCACTCTCTGGGTGGTTTACAATGTCAAAGCATTATTTGCATATTGTCCTCATTTTAATGACCTGAGAAGCATCCTTCTGAGTAACCTTGAGTCTCATCAGGATCAAATTCCAGGCTATGAGCAGAGTTTGCCTGCAATACTGCACTTTGACCACTGTGCTACCAGGCTCTTGTGTACCAACTCCCCACTTGGTAGCCATTTTGTGAGAGTGCTTAACAATCTGCAGCTGATATTCCAGTTGTAGCCACCCTATAGCAATTGCTGGAAAAGGGAATTGATCTTCAAAGGTTTTTAAGGTACTGAAACCAGAGGATTGTGATTAGAAAATCAAAGTCAGCAATACCCTTTTAGTTTCCCACAAAGACTAAGATGCTCATAAGTGAGAGGACTTGAAGGAGTCTGAACTCTAAGATGCTAGATTAGTTTTCTCTGGTACACTCCAATCAAGACCACAAATCCTATGATTCCCACTCACACGCACCAAAATGTGTATGTGCACTCCCAAAAACATAATTAGCTAAAAGCATAGAGAAATGGCCTCTTTTCTCATATTTTGAGTTGTTCTTTTGTCATTTTTAAAAAGATAGGAATTATTTGTCTGTCATTTACTATCTGTGGTCATTGCCTGTTTCTCAGGTGCTCCTGTACATGCTATCTTCATCCCCCAGAGGACTTCATGAACCAGCAGCTGGACAAGGATTCTCTGAAGACGGTCAAAGAGTCTCTGGATGAAAACCAGTCCTTCCCCACCTTGCCTTACAACCAGCTTTCTGCAGCTTCAGACCCTGCGTCTCTCAGCGATGACCAGGAGACCGTTCTCACCCCAGAAGAGGTGGCAGAATACTTAGAACTCAGCACAGAAACGGATTGTCAAAGGTAAACATCTGCCAAACATCAAAGTTCAGTAAGGAGAGTTCAAGTTCAAACCTTTATTGCCAATGCACAACATGTGTACAATGAAATTGAATGAGCCTCCTTTGGTCTGTCTGTCTATCTATCATCTATCTATCTATCTATCTATCTATCTATCTATCTATCTATCTATCTATCTATCTATCATCTATCATCTATCATCTATCATCTATCATCTATCTAATGTGAGTTTATGTGAGTTTATGTGAGGACAGGCATAAATAGTCCAGAATGGGACAACTTGGTACAGCCAACTCACCATGGCCAACTCACAGCAGGGCAACTTGTGGTGGGCCAATTCAATAATTCAATTTAAATATTTAAAATAATTTTAAAATATTTTAATTTTTGTCATTCACATTTTATTTTGTCCCTCCTTTTGTATCCTTTCTTTAATGATTCTATTCCACAATTTCTTTGATATTAGTGTCCTGTGGCAAATTGTCCTCTATTGAGCTGGCCATGGCAAGTTGGCCACGTCGAGTTGGCTATGCTGAGTTGGCCATGCTGAATTGTCCTAGACCCTAAACGGATTGCTCCTTGGATCATATATCCCTCATTGCGTTGAGTTTGACACATCTTTCAGATTTAGTATTCCTTCCATGTAGCCTTTATCTAATCCTAACTTTGAATCATTCTATTTTTGCTTCAAGAGCTTGGCATATGGCAGATTTATTTTAATATATTGTTTTGCCCAATATGTTCTCTCTTTTTTTGCATGCTATACATTTTTGGGTTATTTTTAATTTCCAGTTACGTGCCTACATGCAGATCCATCTAATATGTGTATTTATAGTCAGGAAAAAAAATGGAGATCATGCATTAGAAACAATGAGAATGTTAAAATTGAAAACTTGGTTATTCTTTAAAATTCCCGACACAGAGTTGCATTTGAGTCAAGCTCTAACTAGCAAGCTGGATGGGAAGAGATTTATTAAAGAAAAATGAAGAAGACATTATAAACATTTCTCCTACTCATGATTAAAACCAACTCTAGGACAGAGAAATGTCATCTATTCTTTGTTTTGTGAATAGCCAGATAACTACCAGACTGGGTTATCATGTTGTTTACTTTTGACCATGTGAGAACTAGCCGTCACTGGTGGTTTTATGGGCACATTCTAGCCTACAACACTGAGATTTCTTGTTGATCTCTTGTCAATGTACATCAGGTCAGATCCACTTTTCTGAGATCAACCTACATCAATGATATGCTATCACCCAGCTCAGCATAACGTTCATGCAATAATCTTGCAAAATATAAATAAACTGAAAGAGAAATTAATAGTCCAGAGTCATCCTAGGAATGAGCATGAATTGACTCAAGATCTATAGTCGGTGCACTAATTCTTAATATTCATTGCCCATGTCCATTTCAAGGAGGTTTCCTTGGACTAGTTATGATTAAAAAAAAAGAATGGAACTGTATAGCAAAAAACTTTTTTGCTCCCATTTCAATTTTCACAACAAAAGAATGCAGAAGTGGCCACATCTGGCCTTGTGGCTTCAGGATTATCTGTAAATATTGGCCACATCCCAGTCTGATTCTATGCCTCATTCTCTTCACTTTGTATGTCTATGGAGATTCTCAGTCATCCAGGTCATGGCAATAAATATGAGTGTTTACAACACTGTCCTTTCAGCAGTTCCAAGAAGATTCCACACCCATGTGCACTATTTAGGTGACCCTGAGGGCACAAATAAACCTCCAAGTGGCCTCAAGGACTCTCAGAAAGAGTGCTAATGACCAGATGATTGCAAGGAATATTCCATTCTCCACTATTCAGTCAGAACTGAAGAAGCTTCTTGGATGAGAAGTGAAATGTTTTCCAGCAAAAACAAGGGAAGTCCAATTGCCTTTTGAAAAAGCATTTTTTGGGTTTTGTCTTGTAGACAGGCAAGACTCCATGAACATACAAAGACCTCCAAAGTATCATGGACTGTCAACTGCTAAAACAAATGTCCCATAACTGCTGCTTTGGTGGTTTGAGGACAGCTTGTCCCATAAGGCTGACTCCTTACACTTTGGTAACTGGGGCTGGGACACGAAGTAGCAGATTTTATGGGAAGCACAGTGACTCCACTGAGATAATTATAGCTCTTTTTAAAGCCTAGGCAGCCAACTGAATGTTTTCGGCAATGTTTAACAATCTTCAGCTGGTTCTGGGTGCCAGTGACATTGCCTTCCAGTTCCAAGCCACATCTCCTCTTGAGGCATGGAAAAATGTACTAGTATACTTCCTTTGTGACTGAAGTGGCAGGATTATTTTAGTTTTGACAAATTTAAAACTCTGCCTTCTACAGGGAGAAACTAAGTGATTTCTGCGAGAGATAAAAAAAAATCTTGTTAAAGTTGTAGCCTAAGCATTCAAAAGCTATGCAGATGCCTAACTTGGCTTTATTTCAGTGTTTTGCTACTGCCCCTGCAAGTTAAGAGAACTACACTTACTAGAAGACTTACTATTAGTTATTGTCTTTGTGATCACCCACTCTATCTCCTACCCATAGAACAGTGTTTTTTCAATCTTGGCAGTGTTAAGAGGTGTGAACTTCAATTCCCAGAATTCCCCAGTCAAAGCATGCTGGCTAGGGAATTCTGGGACTTGAAATCCACACCTCTTCAAGTTGCCATGGTTAAGAAACACTGCCGTGCAGTTTACAACTGACTTCTACACAGTTGTAAGAAATGGGCTGCTTTAATGAATTTCTCATGGATGATGGAAACTTCAGAGATAATCTTTTGGACTCGTCTGCCTGTTTATGAAGGTACAAGATGAAGCAGATACCACCATCTGAAAGTATCCATGTAAGTAGGCAGAACTGGATTTAGAAGTAACAGAGTTCTGAAATCCACGCAATTATGAAGCCAGAGTTGGTTAGAGTTCTTGTGCTAAGTGTTCTTTCTACACTGGATGTGTGCAATCCATCTGGAATAGAAGGTCCAGAGCATCCACAAAAAAGGGGGGTACTTGATGAACCATGCTCAGAGCTCGTGTTACATTAAATTACCTTACTACATTACAATCTAGAATCTCCAAAAATACAACTGGTAGATAAGAAAGTTAATATTTTATTAACATATTCTTCTTATTCCAAATATTACAAAAAACGGTGGCTTGGTCTCTCACCCTAAAGCCTTGAAGAATTCCACAGGCCAAGTACTGAGACACAACACAGGCAGATTAAACAAGTCTGCCCCATCTTGTTTGCCCCTCTGTGTTCACGAGGGTAGCTTCAGTCTTAGAAGTCCTTGTGGTTCCTCTCACCTCTGAGGTGGGCTTTCTGGAGCAGTTGCCACACCTTCTTTTAATGCTAGACTGCTATTTCTGAAAACCTTTGGGGCAGGATGTGGGTTGAGTGCAGGGTTTGATCTGGAGGCCATTGCATTCAGGGCTGGTGGCAAAATGTTTCCCATCCCTTTTAGATCTGAGCTGTGGTTATGGAGTGGTGAAAAAAAAACAGCAGACGGTTATTCATACATATAGATTGGTAAGGCAGGGGGAGGAGTGGATTTCGTTGCCATGCAAATGCCTCCCTGGATAACTGAAACACCCAACAATGAACTTTTAACTTGGATTTTGGGGGATTTTTGTTAGATCTGGCATCTAGAAGCAGAAGACCTGCTAGGTCAGAATGAAAAGGGCCGCCAGCTCTTTCTTTCTAGGTAGAATTTGGGGACAAATGTTCAGGAGGTTCCACTTTAGCAAAGGCCCCTACCTGTTAATGGATTCCTCTACTACATTTAAAGTGAACTTACCTGTCAAAGAAAGGTAGAACTCTGTAAAACTTCCTTACCTAGCTCCGTAAGTGGAGTACTGTGAATGGCAAGGTCTCCTCACCAGAACGGCAAGATGATTATGCGGTGAATTAGACTGAAGTATGGAAATACTATTGCTGTTGTTCAGTTGCTAAGCTGTGTCTAACTCTTCATGACCCTGTGAACCATAGCATGTGGGGTGTGTGTGTTCTCCACTGTCTCCTGGAGTTTGTCAAAGTTCAAGTTCATTGTGTGGATGACAATATCTAATCATGGCACTATCTAATCTTCTAATCATCTCACCCTCCCTTTCCCCTTTCCCCTTCAATCTTTCCCAACACCAGGGTCTTTTCCAATGAGAGAAATATTGAGAAGTATTCAGCCATGGATTATCCCAGAAATTAGGGTCAGAATGTTAGCGGAATACAATATGTATGTTCTTATTTTGTTCATTAGTTATGCGAGGCCTTTGTTGTTGTATGTTGCTCATCCTTTTAATTGCATTTTTTGTTTTGTTCTATAGAGTTTTATCATACCGTTTTTTCCCCTTCTGTCTTGATGACCAGTTATTTATTTAAGAAGGGCAGTCCCATACATTTTCTAAATAAAGAAATGAAGAACAACATGTCCTTGTTTAAGTGGCATCCATCTTGTTAATTTAACGTCTTCAGTGACCTTGTATTTTAACTGAGCTGATGAAGAATCCAGACACGAGAACTCACACAGTTGCTAGCCAAAACAGCCCTCTATAATATTGGTTTTCCTTTCTGGGTCTCTGTAGCTGAGCCAGCAGTTTCACCTACATTTCTCCTTTCTTCAGAAAACAGCTACGTTATTTCTGTTGAGGTCTGTGGCCAGTCTCTACCACGGGACTATTTGCATTTGCTTAAGACAGTGTTTTCCAAACATGTCAACTAGAAGATGCATGGATTTCAACTCCCAGAATTCCCTAGTCAGCTGGCTGGGGAATTCTGGGAGTTGAAGTCCACATGTTTTCCAATTAATTAACATTGGCTTATGAGGCCATGCGTGCTTAGTAGAAGTTACGTTTAGTAGAAGTTAGGTTACATTTCCTCTCCTACCAATAATGAGTAAAGAAACCAACAACAAAATGAAGATAGTTAAGCAGACAATATAATAAAAATCATTATTTTTCCAATAAGACTTTTAAGGACAACATTACTTGGGAGAGTTTGCTCCCAGGATCCATCACAAAAAGGGTACAGTTTTTAAGGGGAAAAAAAGATTTTATCCATGAAATACTTAAGGCAGGAAAACAGTTTTTTAATGGCATGAGTTTTTAATGGCAATGTATGTTGGTGGAAAGACTTGGTATGGATAGAATAAATAATAGGAGTAGAGATAGCCAGTAACCTTTAAGGCTGTTTGTCAGCACTGTAATGTGCTGTTGTCTGTTTCATTCCATTTTTGTAGATAAGCAACACACACACACACAGACACACACACACACCTCATCCATTCAGTTCAGCTGGGTTTACATGGGAGAAAATGACTGGGCATTTTGATGGGAGACAGGCGCACAATGGATTTTCTTTTATTTTCTGCTGTTTAATCCTTGGAGTTATGACAGAATGAATCCAAACAACTCATCACATGGAGTGATGTGTGTTTCTTCTTCACCACTGAAGACCTCCAGCAATGAAATGGGAAGGAAGAGATGGTTCCATCGGCTTCCCTTCACTACTGCACCCCTTACCCTATCTGAAACTGGTGTGTGTGTGTGTGTGTGCGTGTGTGTGTATGTGATCCTTTTGATTGACAACATCAGAACTGGTGATGAATGAACAATAGAGAAATCCTCTTTTACCAGTGATGACCACTATATATGGACACACACACAACTATAATATTTCCAGGCTGAAATCTGTCCTCTAATTTGGCTGCCCTCCTTTGAAAATGACTATGGAGATTATCAATCATCCAGGTCATGGTTGTCCCAAAGGTACTTTTTCCAAAAGGCAACTGGACTGTCTTGGTTTTTTCCCTTGAAAATGTTTCGCTTCTCATCCACGAAGTTTCTTCAGTTCTGACTGAATAGAGGGAAGCTTTTGTTTTTCTGATGCATTTACAGAATGCTTTTATTTATATTATGTTATATGTTATGTTATATGTTATGTTATATGTTATGTTAAGTTATATGTTATGTTATGTTATGTTATATGTTATGTTATATGTTATATGTTATGTTATGTTATATGTTATGTTATGTATCTTGATGCAGTGGTATTACAATACATTGCATTTTTTTCTTTTGACCCTAATTAATTGCTTTTTTTTTTATATGCTGATTTATGACCAGATTAAAAATGGAATGATTGAGGTTTGAGCTCAGGTTGCCGCTCAGGATGAAAATTAGCAATTCTCCTCTCACCATTCGCTGCAGGCCCAATCACCACCCATTTGCCATTTTTAGAAACTGTAATCAATGCCAAAACACTTTTAGTGCCTTTGCTCATCGGATGCTGAACTGTTTGTCCTAATTTTGTTCATTTGCTGCTGCAGCTGTTATAGCTGTTGCTATTACGGTTTGTCGCACAGTCAGCCAGATGTTTAGACTGGATTTGGCATTTTTATCCATCTATCGAGTCCTCCCCAAGGACCCACGAAAGGAAATGTTGCTGTTTGGTATTGGTGTTCAAAGGTATTGTGGCAGGATGTAAGCTGTTCTAAGTAAAGCTGCCTTTTGTAATTGACTGATGGTGATTTTGTGAATGTCACTTATGGTGTTCAAGAGGCACTCCAGTTATTTTGGGATTTTGCTTTGTTCATCTGCTGCAGCAGTTGTTGTAGCTGCCATGGTGGAGCAGTCGTTAGAGTGCAGTATTGCAGGTTAACTCTGCTCACTGCCAAGAGTTTGATTCTGACCAGCTCAAGGTTGACTCAGCCTTCCATTCTTCTGACGTCAGTAAAATGAGGACTCAGATTGTTGGGGCAATATGCTGACTCTGTAAACTATACGCAATAGAATTCCCTATGCTACTAGGCTCGAAATTCTTGGTTTGGATAATTTAGGACTGTGTCGCTTGCAGTCAGAGCTAGGTATTGCATACAAAATTATATGTAGTAATGTTTTACCCATAAATGACTTTTTTTTGTTTTAATCGCAATAATACATGCGCTAACAACTGCTTTAAACTCAATGTAAATCATTCTAAACTTGACTGGAAAAAAATATGACTTCTGTAATAGAATTGTCAAAGTCTGGGATGCTCTACCTGATTCAGTTGTTTCAGCTACAAATTTTCACAGTTTTGGTCACAAATTGACTTCCGTGGACCTTACTTCATGCTTAAGTGGTCAGTAGAGGGGGCATGCATAAGTGCACTAACGCGCCTATCGTCCCTGTCATTGTATTTTTATTCTTTTATTCTTGTTCTCATTTATGTTTGACAAATTCCAATAAATAAATAAATAAAGTGGTTAGAGAGGGCTGTAAAACATTATGAAGCAGTGTATAAGTCTAACAGCTATTGCTATTGCAGCTGTTACTACTATTATCATTATTATTCAGGTTCTAACACCAGCATGGTCCTCTCTCTCTTTCAAGGGAGCCAGATGACAGTGACTCAACCACTTCCCACATCCTCTTTCCATCTCATAGCTATGGCTATATCTGTGGTCCTCTGGCCATTGAGCTGCTGGAAAATGATGTGTTGGATGAAGATGAGGATCCCAACATGGTGGAAGGTCCCTGTTCATCCACCAAATTCTTCCGCAGTTCCTGCCAAACTCCATCATCCAGCCTGAGTGAAGACGAGGCATCCTTAGGAGGCTCCCTGGTGAATGGCTGGGGATCTATTTCAGAGGACAATGGCACCAGCACTCGCTGCAGCCTGGTCAGCTCTTCAGATGGATCCTTCCTGTTGGATGCCAACTTTGCTCAAGCCCTGGCAGTGGCGGTGGACAGTTTCTGCTTTGGGCTGGCAAAGAAGGAAATTGACAGACCTTTGACAGGTAATGGCATCTGGTCCTTCCCTTCATCATGTAGGATGGAACCTCAAACTATGTTTGGATGTTATCTGTGCTCCATTATAGGGCAAGAGAAATATACCTTCATTGCAAAGACAGTGAGTCTATGGAGAAGGCCTCCTTGGTCATCTGGGATTCCAGAATGCCTTCAAGCACAGTTCCAGTTCAAACTCTAATCATAGCTTTCAGCTTTTAATTTTACGCTGTGCTAATTGTGTGCCTAAGAAACAAACTTCTGTTTCCTATTTTAATTGCAGTAGGTTTAAGAATTACTTTTCTACTTCTCTTGGTGATATTCTTAAGCTGACATTATTGTTGGAGATGAGGAAGGATGCTTCTCCAGAGTGGTTTGCTATAACCCATCCTCCAACTCTCTGAAGTTTCCTATATCTAAAACAAACAAAGAAAAAAAATCTGCAAAACAAAAAAAACTATGAAAAGACCAGTAATAATAATGTTGTTTCTTTTTTTTTTAAATGAAGGTATAAAAAACCAGGGTGGTAAATTGACCATCGAAAAACAGAATGTTTAATTTCTAGTCCATTTTACTGCTAAATGTGAGAATAGCAAATTCCTGTCATAAGAAATTCACCGACATTCTCTTTTCCTTTGAAAGAAATGTCAAAAGCAAGCTCACTTTCATCTAATGGATGAGAACCAGCAGAAAACATTTTCAGAAGTTTTCTGCATGGCGTTCATTTCCCCCCCCAAAGAAGTTAAAAGTACTAGAAAACAAGAGCAGAATGAAGAATCCGAGAAAAGCTTGATAGAAGGCCACTTAATTTGCATCCAGAGGGATCTGAGAAAAATCTCCTGCCTAAAACTCTGAAGAATCATTATCTGTCAGGCACACCAATATTAGGATAAAGGAACCCAGTAGAAAACAAGTTTTCTGTCTTCCTGCCCAGCATGAATAATTGAGGCTGGATGATGAACAGATATAGCAAGGCAAATGATTTTCTCTTGTGCTATAAAAGCTGAAGATTTGCAACTTGCTGAGAAGTAAAACATTCCAATGCACTTTAGTTCGGCTCAGTTCAATAACATTGACATCCTTACCAGTTGTTTTAAAATCATTCATTGTTAGTTAGTTTAGTGGCCAAGATGTCTGCAGGTAAAACCGGGGCCTTTTCCCTCCCTGGCAGTTGAAAAATCCTACCTGTTCCCTTGGCATCCTCAAGGAGGGTCTGTGGGGCAGCGAAATTCAGCCACAGAGTGGGTTTGTGTGTGTGCTGTAGAAAGGACAGAATATTTGATTTATAGGGTACCAGAAGATATTCTGTTCAGGTTTGAGCACTTCCATTCATTGTCTGTTCCTGATAATCATGTAGGCAGCCAGAAAAGCAGAACTTGATTTATCACTGCAGTAATTCTCTGTTGCTGTTTTGCTTTGGGTTTTTCCCCCCTCTCCTTCTACACATTTTGAGAGAGCTGAACATGCCAAAATTGATGGTGCAAGCAAGGAAGCAAAAAATTGTGGGGGAAAATTCAGAAGAAGGAGAAGGAGAAGAAGGAGCAAAAAAGGCTTCCAGACACAAATATGCAGTCCTGGAACAAAACAGCCAGATGGCTGCCCCTAATGTTCCTTCCCTCAAAGGCAAAGACGAGATTTCCACCTTCTCTAATTGATTCTTTTGAAGCTTTCCCAAGCTCTGTCAGTTTCTCAGCCAGATCCCTCTTTGTCATCCAGAGTTAAGCTGCTTGATCCTTACAGTCCTCTCTATCTCACAACCAGATTCCCATATTTTGTCTTCCAGTCCCTGCAGTGCAAAACACCAAGGGATTTATTTAGAATCAGGACACCTTGAAATTTCCAAGGGGAAAATGAGGGGTTTCAGCCTTTGAATGTCTCTTCTTTATCTAGCACCACTTTACATAAAGTATCGCCTGAAATAGCTGCATTTCCAGAAGACTTTAGATCATTCTATTCTTCAATCCATTAAAATTTCAGGGGTTCCATTTTAGTCTCTTTTGCCTTGTTGCCTCCATATCTTTGTAAATTGAGAAATAACTGGGCAAATATTAAGTTAACTTTCCTAAAATCACCTTTCCCTGAAAACACAAATGTGCATGCTTTCTTCCTGCTGGGCCAAGAACTGTGTTGCAAATTGCAGAAAAGTGCACCATTATCTTCCCATCTATATATTAACAATGCAAACAAGTGCAAACAAAGGAAAACGAAACAAATAATAATAATACATGATGGCATCCAATTGGTGTTCAGCTGCAGCCATCAGTGGAATGGAAGCATGAATTGAAAGCCTTGGGCATCTGTAATTTGCTAGCTATAAATTAATTGTGACTTGAATTTTACCCTGTTGATCATTTCCTTGAAATGCACACATATATCCATTTGGAATCCATTATAGATACTCAAGGTACTTTGCAGTTGTGGTTGTTTTTTTTTCTCTTCTGCCTTTTTGCAGGCATAAATGTATGTTCTGCATGAAACGCTCCTTAGAAACAGAGAAACTATTCGTGGTCACCCAAAATATTCCATATATTTAGCTCTTTCCCCATTCCAGGAATTAGTCCAAGAATCCTAGTCAACCTTGTAAATTAGTTAGAGTGTTCTAAAGCTTCTCTGGCTGGGAATGCTGGGGTTTGAAGTCCTGAGGTCACTGGATTGTTGAAGGCTAAACAAAATAGTGCCTATTTCTGTAGACACCATGTGTTTCCCCTGGGTGCACTTATGCAGACAGTTGAAGCTTTGCCTGAGCTATAATGGGCAATTATAGTTATTTGTTGCTTTTATGTCCTTCAGTAGCTCAAGGTGGTGGATATACTAATTTTGCACTTCCAATAACCCAGCGAAGCTGTCTGAGCTGAGAGATAGCAGCACCTTCTCAATCAATCCATAAGCTTCATGGTGGAGAGAGGATTTGGCTCTCTCGGTCCTAATCCAAATGACATGGCTTCACATCACAGTTCTCCCAATATGCTGGGATTCTTGGAAGCTCCACTTCTTCTGATGCATAGGTGGTGAACATGTTCCTGTTCTCTTCTCTCCTGCAGATTTTTTGCCTCCTGCATCTCCTCTGGATGGCCTCCTGCCTCCTCGGCCTCTCACAAAGAGCTCAGAAGAAGTGCAACGGAAGCTTGGATCACAGCCCCTTCCTGTCTGGGAATGGAGCACTGATTGGGTGGAGGAGATGGAAGCCAAGTATATGCAACCAGCTGAGAACTGGGAGGCTGCTGTTAAGCCAGGAAAAGGAAGGATAGCTGCACCAGAAGAAGCCCAGCTGGTCCCTACTTTTATACAACAGGGAACGAATGACAAGTGTTGTTGCTCCAAGGTAGAGGGCCACCTACCAGGAATGCTAAAGTAGTAGCTGTCCTGCTTTGTTTGGAGTTTGGTGTTTAGAATTTGATGAATTTTGAGTTCTTTTTTCAGTGCTAGGAGTCTAATTCAGGAAAGCTGTGGTCCCTGCCAATCATCTGTAGAAATGAACAACTCACCTAATTTCATCTTTTTAGAAAAGGAAAATGCTTATGTTTTTTCCATCCCATTTTTTATTTGATTTTTAAAACAAACCAGACTCAATTTTCACCCATCTTCCCTGGGCAAATCCAGGTAACATTTCTTGGAGTGGAAAAAAAATAAGTTCTACTGCCTACTCTCAAAATTGAGGAACTGGTCAGAAAGCAACTCTGATTCAGGATTGACGTCACTTGGATTTGAACCAGGACTTTAAAAATGGTGCATGTTTTCTTTTGCATTCAGACGGGTGCTAAAGACATGGTGTCCAGGTCAGATTGCAGAAGGGGAAATATCAGTTGGATTGACCAGGCAAATATTACTTTAAGGCCAAGGTCAGTTGGAAGGAAACTCGAGGCCCAGGAGAAGGAGATTCTAAATCCAGACAAAGTAGGGTGTGCTTAGGTCTCTAACATACCTAGATAACAAATAGCAGAATTGCATTTTTTTTTTTTGCTTTGTCACTACTTTATTTATAGGATGGGGCACCTAGCAAATGTTCTGCAAGTGGTTAGTGGGACATAGGAGGTTTTGAAGCTTTGAAAACCTTTTCAGTTAAAAGGATGATGGCTGCTGAGGTTTCAAACTCATGCCAAGCTGTGATTTAGCAAGCTGCTGTACCTGTCAACTCCCCCCACCGTTTCTTCTGTTGCAAAAGGCGCATGAGCTTGGTTGGTCAGGTGCAACAGGTTCATTTTACCTGACCCACTTCTGCCATGTTGCACTTGGGACCCACTGAAATAGGTTACGCTGAACAATGTTTTATTCATTATCATTCCTGGGGGCTTTGGTTTTTTTTTTGTGTTGGGTAGTTTTGCTCAAAGTCATCTGATTTTGAAGGAGGGAACTTTACTTCTCTTGTCCCTTCTGCTTGTGTGAGTGTCTGGGAGTCCAAATAACCAAAGACTCAATGAATGTCATCCCAAACCTGCAGCCCTCGGCTGCTTCAAGTTTATAACGAATGGAGATGGAGGAGGGAAGAAAGACCTATTGATTTCCAATGCTGCAACTGACTGATGGGGGCCTTTCAACCTCCCACACCTTTGCGCCTCAGTGAGCAGGCAAGAGAGATTCAATTAGTTGAATGCCTTGTCTGATGGAAATATCTAGCCCGGCCTTTGCTCTCTGCCATCCTCACTTTGGATCAGAGCTTCATTTGGCATTAGAAGGATGGCTGCTTTTCAGCTGCATTCTAACATTCCATAAAATAGAGTTGAAGGATGCTTTATAGACCAGAGCAAATGACTCAACCATAGGCACTGAAGAGCCTGCCAGGATAGAGCCAAAGACCATTTGAAGACCATTTGATTCACCATTTTGTGTCCCACATGGCCAGCCAGATCAATTCAAGAGCCTAGCAAGCATCAACAGGAGGAAAATTGCTCACTTCTCTTGTGTTACTCCCCAATAGATGGCATTTAAGATCTGCTTTTTTTGAGTTAGTAAGCATCCATTAAGTCCAATAACTTTTGGTACCCCTTAAATGAAATGAATTTGGCAATGCCCATGGTAATGAATTCTGTAATTCAGCCTTGTTTTGAATGTAGACATGATTTCAGAAGCAGCTTTGTGAGGCCCAGTATCCTTCAAAAAGGAGGCATTAGGTAACTTGTTTGTTCGTGCAATGAAATGACTGGGTTATTAGTAAAGAAAATTTCTAATAATACTATTATCAGAGCAAGAAGGGTGGTAGCTCAGTGATAAAGCATATACTCTGTGTGTCAATGATCCAGAGTTCATGTGTTAGTTCATGTAGGATTGAGGAAGACTCCAATTGAATCTTTGATGAGCTTCTTCCAATTATTATAAACCAGGATTTTTAATCCTCTCCAAATGTATTGAGAGTACAATTCTCTAAGATTTGGTAATAATGATGTCAATACTTTCCTTTTCCCCAATATTTTGTGTGTGTGTGAATCCTGGATTTTGGTCTTGACATGTATGTTGGATACCACCAGTAAAAAAAGACATAAATTGGAAAGTGTTTGCTCCCATTTCTATACTAAAGCAACCACCCTTTTCGTTAGCTCTGTTGTAAATCTTGAACATGCATCTTCTGATGTCCCAGGTAGAATGATTCAAAGGTTTGATCCATCTATTCCTAACCTGATGCTGCAGCAAAAAGCTATGGTGTTACTGAGAGCAGAAGAGCATTGACCAATTAAAATGCTGTCAACTTTTAAAGACTGACCCTTTTCATGACAATCAAAAGGATGCTTCCTCTTGAACTGAACCATTTCAATGTTCAAGGTTGCAAAGTTTTATTCTTGCTTAGCTGAGAAAAGATGCATTTCTAAGCAGTAGATCCTATTCATCAACAAATGCCAGATCAATCTATAATAACCCTACTGGAGATAAAGGGATTTTTTTCTGCATTTCAGCCAAGTTCCCAGATCCATTATTTCAATTGTTATAGGACTATTTCTTCTGCTGTTATACCAGGGAGCTAGAATAAAAAAAAAGTTTTTCTAAGTTTTCAGATTTCTCCCATCCCATCTCCAAATCCATTAATAGTGAATGTGATGATGATGATTTCCAGGACCCAAGCGTCCAACTCTTATCAATTACACAGACTGGATGTTGTCCAGTTTGTTTTGGTTAGTCTCCTGGAGTGCACCCTGGGTCAGAAACCGTTACTGTTTTAAAGGAAAAGTACACAAAAGAAGGAGAGCAGTAATAGCATTGCACAAGACATGACTGATAGTGGGATAAGTGTTTTTTGAAGGTGTTCAAAAGCCAGAGTGTTTCACTACATTGGCATCCTTGACTTTCCTTATTGGAATCAGAGTCCTGTAAATGCATTCTCTTGCTGGCCTGTTAAGTTTCATCAACATGGATTGACAAGTGTCCTCCTTTCTTCACAATTATTGAGCTTATTCCTTTGGACTGTTTAGTACGTCATCTTCAGAGACCCCTAAGGGAACAAGGCTGATTGGAGCCCCGGCTTCTTGCTATACCTTAGGTCAATGTACATTCTTCCCCATTGAAGCCAATGGTTTAGTAAATGGAAATTGACATGGGAGAAATGACAATTTGGCTATTTTTAACAAACTAGTTTTGCAATTCTGGGTGTTAAATTTCCTCACTCTGGTCATTACAAATATTGAAGGATACATTTTGGATCAACCTCTTCCATGAATGGTGCCCACTGACTCCACGCCAAAGGCCTTGCATGGTAGTGAGGGTTTTGGAAACTTTTCACCAGCCTCCTCCCAACAGTTCTAGTATAATATTATTTATAGGGTGAACAGAAGATGTAATCAGTCTACATCACATCTGGTTTACTAGTTTGGTGATTAGCTGGAATGACCACACATCCTCACAGGAACATTTACCCTGCAGGAAGCTATAATGAGACTAGAGTGCCTATAAGGCATTGTCTCATATGTCTCCTTATCTTTTGCTGGCAGAGGCGAAGTAGGTTTGTCAACATTTGAGCCAGTGATGGGGTTCAATTCTTTTTAACTACTGATTATGTGGGCTTGGCTTGGTGGGCGTGGCAGTGGAAGGATACTGCAAAATCTCCAGTCAGAGATAGTGGATATTTGCTGGTTCTCTGAACTACTCAAAATTTCCGCTGCCGGTTCTCCAGAACTGGTCAGAACCTGCTTGAATGCCACCTCTGATTTGAGCCATAGCTTGGTTGAACTACACTCTCCAAGAAGCTCTCATTTAGCTCTGCCCAATCCTGCCATCTGCATTTTAAATTCACTTTAAAGCTAGAACGCCTTTCGTCAGTTGATTACCTCCAGGTACATTGTAATATACATTATGTATATTATACGTATAATACATGTCATAGTTCTGAGCCTGCTAGTTTCATTTCATAGTATTAGAAGTTGAGATATAAAGATAATTGTTGACAATTGCAGAATTGCCCTATGTAGTTAGCCTGTTCCGGATTTTGGCCAGCTCTTTTATTCATTCATATACCCATTCCAGATTATTCCATTTCCGCCCCCGCCTGCAGATTTCTGGAGCATTTGATTGATTAACAGAGAAATAAATAACAGAGGAGCACCAATTTGGTTTGATAAGTAGAGTTTTTCACTTCTCATCTCAGAAATGCAGGAATTAGAAAAGGGAAAATTATTAATCTAAGTTTTAAAAGATTAAAAACTTTAATAAAAACAAAACTTTATATAGTTTTAGCCTGATCCCAGGCCACATTGATGGCAGGGATATTTCTGAGCAGTTAGTCATTCTGCATGTCAGTCAGTGGCAGATTAAGGCTCACTGGTGCCCTAAGCACTGAGAAATCTTGGTGCCACCACTCCTTTGTACATACTGTACAAACGAAGCCATATTCTCAACTTTGTGTTACCCCCTTTGGGCCTGGTGCCCTAAGCATGTGTTTAGTCTGCTTAATGGTTAATACACCACTGATGTCAGTCCTAGGGGGAACTGGAAAACAGTGGTCCCCAACTTTTTGGGAACCAAGCTCCAGTTTTGTGGAATATAATTTTTTCACCTTGGGGAGAGGGGGGTGGAAGAAGAGCACACACAACCTAGATACCTTGCATGCACATGCTCACTTGCCTGCTGCTTATCTCCAGTGGGCGGCCTGGTCCCAGTACCGGTCCATGGCCCAGAAGTTGGGGGCCCTTGCAGTAAAATATAGATAGTTGTTTGAACAGTGCCACAATCACAGTAAATATCATTATTCACAGTAAATAGTTCTTCTCATATTAATTCTTTATTAACCTTAACAATGGCAGTGGTAGGGTGTTCACTGTTTTTTGCCCTGGTTTTTCACTCGTAGCATCTTGAGATGAACTTCAGATCTTTGCTCCTTCATCTTTCCCCAGGCTTGAAGTTAAGTCAGAGTGAAAGTTGGCCTCGGGAGTTTTGTATTCCAGTCAGCCCTGATGGGGTCAGAGAGTTAAGTGCCTGTGGATAGTTTTAAAAGGATGGATAATTTTATGGCTGAGACAATAATTTTATGAGCTTTTGCTTCTTCAGATGAACTAATTAGAATTGGTATTTCGGAACGTCAGCAGAGCACTGGCAAAACTGGGCATAAAGTTTGGTAAATATATTTTATCTTTGGGAGTGACAGCACGATTTGCTTAGCATTCAGTCCTCTCCTACAGCATCTCATTGGCTTTCTGAAAGTTTGTGCATTCATCCATTTTAGTCATCATGATACTACCAAACTACTCAGGCTAAAGCTGTAGTTGGGATACTATTATTTTTAAAAACCCAGTAGAAATCATGATAACTCCATTTTCAGTACTCATCCACCACTATAAATAAAAAATGCCATCATTCCATAAAACAGAAAGCCTGTGTGTAAGATAAGCTACACAAGCATTACACATGTGCATATACACATTATTATCAGGGAGCAGATTGCTGAAGCATAGAAATTAGAATTCATTGCTTGTTTATTTCCAGTATTTCTGCACCGCCACAATTACGCATCTTTAGATGGTCCACAAATCAAATGGTAAAAATAATAAATGACATCAATCTCACAAAACATCACTAAAATTTGCTTCTTGTCCACTGCCATTTGGATGGGAAGCAAAATGTTCAAGTCTGTCAGAAATGCCATGCTTTTATCCTTAAGAAGACTAAAGTAGCTAATGTGGATAGCAACAGAAAAACGGGCCTTATGGGTATTGGTTCCTTTCACTGCCTAACCTGAAGGAGCATCTCTTCCCAAGCAGAATGGATAAGTCAGGTGCAGTCAACCTGGAAGAAATGGTCTGATAAGTAATGTAGTAAAAGGTAAAAAATGTAAAGGTAAATCCCTGTGGATTTTATTTTTCTGGTCGTTGCTGACTCTATGGGGCAGTGCTCGTCTCTGTTTCAAGGCCATTGAGCTAGCACTGTCAGAAGATATTTCTGTGGTCATGTGGCCAGTACAATGTCATGGAGCACTGTTATCTTCTCACCAAAGTGGTACCTATTTACCTACTCGCATTTGCATGCTTTCTGTGATGACCCAGGGTGGGATACAAAACAAACACAGTCACAGAAAACAGGTGAAGCCCCTTTTATTCCTTCACTTTCAAGCTCCGAATATCTTTGATGGAAGACAAAAAAACTCCCACACAAACAGTTACACGAAGAAGGAAAAAAGCAACACAAACCAGGCAAGATAAGGGCTGGAGGATGTCCACAGATAACACACACTGGGAAGGATGCAGGCATGATATTCCCCTCTGAAAAAAAAATCGGGGCCGGCCAA